TGTTAAATCTGTAACACCTGATATATTAATCCTTACCCAGATGTTTCATCGAGTTCAAGGTTGCAAGAAACCAACTAGTCTGGATAGGCATGTATCCACAGTGTTCAGGACTGGAATACTGGATACCATGTGCCCAGGGTGTACCTTAGGTTCATACAAAATACAACTCTGAAACATCATGAGAATTTATGGGTTTGCAGTTTTTTGATGTCATTGCATCCACTTCCTAGTCCTCAATTATATCACAAAAYACTGTGTCCTTTAGATACCACTAACAGAAATATAAATTAACTGTTGTAGCATTGTAAAAGTTTCYCTGAAATACTACCAAATATTTAATTCAAGGTCACAGAAAGCTAAGGGAAATATTGAAAGTAGTAAAGAAGTTAAGGATCAGTGACAAAAAATGCAAATGACTCAGTTTTTTTCACTGGTATAAAGTGCTGCAGACTTATGAACTGTTTCTGTACTGTGTCAGAAGAAAGAAACCAGTAATTACATAGAKGGTTTCATTTTTATGCCTCATTTCCAAGTTTGCTGCTATTTCAGTCACTTCCAGAAATGTTTGGTTTTCCTTGATGCTTCTTCTTTCAGGTGAGACTGCTTGTCAAACAGACTGCCCTAGACATAGCACATAGCCCACAGCAGAACACAGTCCATGGCAGCATGTTACAATGAGAAGGAGCAAGAGAACTAAGTATCTGTCCAGTTGAAAAAAAAAAAAAAAACCAACTAAAAAAAGAATCTAGAATTAAAACAGCGAAGAGAACCTCTAACTGTTTTATCAGCACATTAGTCAGGTGTGAAGTTTCACTTTGACCAGRCACCTGATTTGAGTTACCAGTGCTTTAGATCAGGACAGACCAGATAACCAAAGAACAGATTATGCCTCATACCTGTTAGAGGATGAGGAARAACAGCCATTCCTGTTCCATGGAAAATAGCAGAGGAAATCAGGGCASATAGTGCAATTCTGTGGCCACTGAAGAGTAACTACCACATTTGCCCCAGAGCATGGAACATGACTTCACAGACCCACCCCTTTTTTCGCTTTYCTGGTCATGAAACTCTGGTTAGTCCTTCATTCCATGTAGCATTGAAGCAGCTGAAAAATCAGAATTAAATGGACCCAAAATACCATCTACCGCATTTTTTTTGCTCAGATCAGAAGTGTATTAGAAGTTGATTTAGGAGAGCCTGATGCTATTGGAAATTCAGAGCTAAAAKTCTATTTATTTTCTAGTGCTTTACTGCTAATCACAAAGCACAGACTGATGAATTCTTTAATGTATTTTAAGATTTGTATCTGTACAGTTCAGAATTTCAACAATCAAACAGCTGTCTTAATTTCTTTCCCTTGCACAGTTATTTTTCCAATATAATTTTGCAGGAGAGAATTACTCTGCTACTTGAGAAAAGCAATATGGCCAAGAAGTTGCAAATAGCCCATAAAATTTTCACACAAATGTGCGTAAGAAGCAAAAAAAATCCCAATCTGTATTTCTCTATATCTATATACATAAATGTGTGCACACACACACATACTAGTCATAGATAGATAAAATCTTCCTCCAAAGCGACATGCATAAACAAAATTTCAATTCSTTAGGAAAAAGAATGTCTAGCTAGGATATGAGACAGAGGTTCTTCTCCCCCCTMCATCAAAACTAAGAGACACCCTACTTACAGACACTTCAGTATCCAAGCTACTTCTAGAGAATAATGAGGTGGGAAAAAATAGATCTTTGGCTCTTGAGCCTGCACATTTCCATGTTTTCACACGCAGAWTGTTGCATAAACTCAAAACATATCTCTTGGCCATATGTTTCTTCCAGCCACTCCTTAGAAACCATGTAAATGTCTCTTAATAAACAGCTTGCTTAAATGTACATAGCTGTTGGACAGACACCAGCCTGATGACATTCCAAAATCCCAGGCTAATAACTTACAGGTTGTGTTCAGCACGCCATAAACACAGGTTCTTTTCCTTTGTTCCAGAAAAGAGGGAAGGGCAGCATGCTGTCTCCTTCTGTACTGCTAAGTCTTTGAGAAAACTAGACATGCCTACACACTGGTAGTGTGAGCAGAAGCACCACACACTGAAACTGGGAAGAAACTGGAAGTGGTTTGGGAATCACTACTGCATTGRCTTTCTGACACATCAAACATTACAAAGAATTCTTTGATCCTGTATTCTGTCTGGCAATCAGGATTGACTTGCTAGTAAAATAMTAGTCAGTACTGCATTTATTACTGTCTTTCCAAAAGAATCATTAATTACAACCTGGTGATTATAAACATTAATCACCACCTAGTGAAATTATCTTTTTCATATTTCATATAAGTACTTATCACCATAACATCTGAAAGCTTAAGCAAGTACGTCATATCACTAAAGGCTCACCATTAGGGTCTCTGTGGCTCCAATAACAAAATTACTCCTTCTCTTTCAGATTGACACACAAAACTCTACASTATGAATACTTATTAAGGTTTCCCAAAAAAGTAATTTATTTTTGCTATAATGCTGTGACACRAATAGCATTATTGTCCATCTTGTCTATGGGCAAGAGATTTTACTRCTGACTCTTTCTTTATATAACCACCATCTGCCCGTGGCCAGAATATCTGACAAAGACCGGCAGAAAAGCARTTATTTAATTTGGAAAAAACAAAASAAACCAAACAAAAYCCAAATTTTTAAAAACCSAACAAARCAAACAAAATCACAAAGCAAAAAAACTAGAACACCTCCCCCCCCACCAAAAACAAGGGAAAAAAGACCAAAAACAAACCAAAGCAACCCAAACATCCCCTCCCCCTCCAAAAAAAACATGTAGGTTTTGGAGTTTCTCTGCACTCTGTTTATGAGCAGAATTGTAATTGCTTGCAAAGAAAAAGAAGGGGTAGAGAAAGTGAGAAATCAGGGATTATAAGAATCTAGTAATKAAGTTACTGGCATAGTTGTCTGGGGCTGGATCTTGGGTGTCATTCATCTCAGGCAAATGTTGTTTATCAYTAAATTTCACTCTCAGCCTTTGTCCTAAGTTGAAACTACCCTACCTTAGATAGTGCCCACGCTATTCATTTGCAAGAAAGATAAGGCAGTAAAAAATGGCCTACAGCCCTTCTGGCACAGCTCCTTTTCCCTTTCATCATGGAAAAGCCACTCTGGGCCCAAGAAACACTTTGTCTAGCAGTAAATTGAATTGTCTCCACATAAAGAGTTGGACCTCTTTTTAAGCAGATCCACACTTGCTGTGCATTCTGTCACTTTTCCTCCCAAGCCACAGTCTATCAGTGYTGTTGCCAGCAAAATTTATGCTGTCTCTGGAGGGACAACAGCAGCTCAGCAGTATGATGGTGTAGGCAGAGCTCACTGGCATTTTGCTTGCTCTGTACTTGCTTATTAGGTAAGGACACATTTCATTCTCTGTTGGAACTCTCCACTGGCACCTGAGTTACTGAAGACTTGAGTKGTCCCCTTCCCATGACTGCTGTGGGAATATGAATTCAGAGCTTCAAAGTACCRGTCACACAGACACTRCATCCAAAAAAGCCACCCCATTAAYTCAACAGCTATGAAAACRCTACAGACCTCACACCAAAGCATTTCTTCAGTCAAAGCTTTCTGAAGTACCCTGCTTAGCGCTCTGACGGACAGATTTAACTTAACAACACTTTAACACTYATACTAAAGGGATAAAAGGGTAACCCTGGATACCCAGTAGTAGTCTGCTTATGTGCCAACAACTTTGTTTAAGATGTATCAGGTCAGTCGATGGCACACACTCCATCACTGGAAATGTTCCCGGGGCAAGGCACATACAACTGGCTGGATAACACCACATTCCCATAGCACTGCATACATGTAGAAACAGAGAGGCAATCCCACTGCACATCTTGCAARCCATGAGCAGATAGAACCTGAAATATCCACCCATTATTTATGCCATCTTGCTTCTTTTTGGACAAATTTTATCATTACTATTAAGTACACAAATTGCAGAAATGCCCAATGGCTCTCTCTAAAGAAAGCTGGCGCACTAAATTCTGTSTGTGTGCACTTCACTACAGCTACACTTTTCTGCATTCATAGCTGACATTTGCATGCTATTTTGATAATGTATGCCACAAAAGAGCAAATTCAGCACCTATTACTATCCTATCTGTGCCAGTATTTCATGGTATACTTAAATTTTTCTACCTGTAGGCCAGCCCAAATGCACTGGCACCAGTGCAAGAGAGTGAAGYCTTTGAGCTGAGTTACAGAGGCAGCAGAATATATGCCCAAATATGCCTGTTCGATGGCTAATACAGCTGTAATTTTTCCCAAGATTCCACAGCCTTTCTGACAAGTTAAGACAAGTTAACAGCTACAACCCTTGCAGAAAAAAAGGTTGCTCTTCATTGATACAGAAAATTAGCAACTCTAAGGCCACCAGCTGCTGGCAACAGGATGATTAGATCTATCCATAATCTCATCCTGCCTTGCTTTATTAAACATTAAGTAAGGAGGATTTTAACTTGAAATACCAAAGAAAGGACTTTAGTCCTTTTGTTTATTAAAGGGCAAATTAAAAGACAAATTATCCTTTGTCTTTTTTTTTTATTTAACGAACCAACTGCTTTTCATCTTCTCCATCTCAGATCTCCATCAGGTTGTATGGCTAAAAGTAGTGC